TACAGAATCATACTTACAAGTCCTTTGACTGTTTTACCATCTTCCTTTTTCACTTTCTACAGACACATGATTGATGTCAACAGTGAATTTGTAGTACCACAATAAACAGAACTCAAGACAAGTAGCATGCCTTAGTATTACATAGCCAATGAACCAAGATCCCAGTGCTGCTTGATTCTGTAATTCTTATGTTATGAGGGTGTGTGACTACATATACTGAATAACTTTGAAAATGCGTAATTTATTTTAGTTCAGGACAAGAAAACATCTTTATGTACTGTTTATTCACATGACACAGAATGGCACTGTTGTATTTGACTATGTCATGTTGAATAACACGCAACACAAATTGTCCAACATTACCAAAAATGTGAATATGCATTTTCAAAGTAGATTATTTTAACATACATGTGGTTTGTTCAAAAGAAACATCTGCAGTACATCAAAGTTTGACTTGGAGTACTGTCATCAGTTATGTGTTATATGGCCTTCTGTATTTGTCATCATATGATACTCAGTACAGGCCACCACGTAGACCCAGTACAGGTCACACCATAGTCCTCAGTACAGGTCACCAAATAGTCCTCAGTACAGGTTACCACGTGGTCCCCAGTACAGGTCACCACATGGTCCCCAGTACAGGTCACCACATGGTCCCCAGTACAGGTCACCACATGGTCCTCAGTACAGGTCACCACGTGGTCCCCAGTACAGGTCACCACGGGTCCTCAGTACAGGTCACCACATGGTCCTCAGTACAGGTCACCACATGGTCCCCAGTACAGGTCACCACATGGACCACAGTACAGGTCACCATGTGGTCCTCAGTACAGGTCACCATGTGGTCCTCAGTACAGGTCACCACGTGGTCCACAGTACAGGTCACCACGTGGTCCTCAGTACAGGTCACCACAAAGTCCTCAGTACAGGTCACCACATGGTCCCCAGTACAGGTCACCATGTGGTCCACAGTACAGGTCACCACATGGTCCACAGTACAGGTCACCACATGGTCCTCAGTACAGGTCACCACATGGTCCCCAGTACAGGTCACCACATGGTCCCCAGTACAGGTCACCAAGTGGTCCTCAGTACAGGTCACCACATGGTCCCCAGTACAGGTCACCATGTGGTCCCCAGTACAGGTCACCACATGGTCCACAGTACAGGTCACCATGTGGTCCTCAGTACAGGTCACCACATAGTCCACAGTACAGGTCACCATGTGGTCCCCAGTACAGGTCACCACATGGTCCACAGTACAGGTCACCATGTGGTCCCCAGTACAGGTCACCACGTGGTCCCAGTACAGGTCACCATGTGGTCCCCAGTACAGGTCACCACATGGACCTCAGTACAGGTCACCACATGGTCCACAGTACAGGTCACCATGTGGTCCACAGTACAGGTCACCATGTGGTCCCCAGTACAGGTCACCACATGGACCACAGTACAGGTCACCATGTGGTCCTCAGTACAGGTCACCATGTGGTCCTCAGTACAGGTCACCACGTGGTCCTCAGTACAGTTCACCACGTGGTCCTCCGTACAGGTCACCACATAGTCCTCAGTACAGGTCACCACATAGTCAGTACAGGTCACCACATAGTCCTCAGTACAGGTCACCACATAGTCAGTACAGGTCACCACATAGTCCACAGTACAGGTCACCATGTGGTCCCCAGTACAGGTCACCACATGGACCACAGTACAGGCCACCATGTGGTCCTCAGTACAGGTCACCATGTGGTCCTCAGTACAGGTAACCACATAGTCCTCAGTACAGGTCACCACATAGTCCTCAGTACAGGTCACACCATAGTCCTCAGTACAGGTCACCACATAGTCCTCAGTACAGGTCACCATGTGATCCTCAGTACAGGTCACCACATGGTCCCCAGTACAGGTCACCACGTGGTCCTCAGTACAGGTCACACCATAGTCCTCAGTACAGGTCACCACGTGGTCCACAGTACAGGTCACCACATAGTCCCCAGTACAGGTCACCACATAGTCCTCAGTACAGGTCACCACATAGTCCTCAGTACAGGTCACCACAAAGTCCTCAGTACAGGTCACCACATAGTCCTCAGTACAGGTCACCACAAAGTCCTCAGTACAGGTCACCACAAAGTCCTCAGTACAGGTCACCACATAGTCCTCAGTACAGGTCACCACGTGGTCCCCAGTACAGGTCACCACATAGTCCTCAGTACAGGTCACCACATGGTCCCCAGTACAGGTCACCACATGGACCACAGTACAGGTCACCATGTGGTCCTCAGTACAGGTCACCATGTGGTCCTCAGTACAGGTCACCACGTGGTCAACAGTACAGGTCACCATGTGGTCCTCAGTACAGGTCACCACAAAGTCCTCAGTACAGGTCACCACATAGTCCTCAGTACAGGTCACCACATAGTCCTCAGTACAGGTCACCACAAAGTCCTCAGTACAGGTCACCACATAGTCCTCAGTACAGGTCACCACAAAGTCCTCAGTACAGGTCACCACAAAGTCCTCAGTACAGGTCACCACATAGTCCTCAGTACAGGTCACCACGTGGTCCCCAGTACAGGTCACCACATGGTCCTCAGTATAGGTCACCACATGGTCCACAGTACAGGTCACCACATAGTCCTCAGTACAGGTCACCAAGTGGTCCTCAGTACAGGTCACCACATAGTCCACAGTACAGGTCACCATGTGGTCCCCAGTACAGGTCACCACATGGACCACAGTACAGGTCACCATGTGGTTCTCAGTACAGGTCACCACGTGGTCAACAGTACAGGTCACCATGTGGTCCTCAGTACAGGTCACCACATAGCCCTCAGTACAGGTCACCACATAGTCCACAGTACAGGTCACCATGTGGTCCACAGTACAGGTCACCATGTGGTCCCCAGTACAGGTCACCACATGGACCACAGTACAGGTCACCATGTGGTCCTCAGTACAGGTCACCATGTGGTCCTCAGTACAGGTCACCACGTGGTCCTCAGTACAGTTCACCACGTGGTCCTCCGTACAGGTCACCACATAGTCCTCAGTACAGGTCACCACATAGTCAGTACAGGTCACCATGTGGTTCTCCGTACAGGTAACCACATGGTCCACAGTACAGGCCACCATGTGGTCCTCAGTACAGGTCACCACATGGTCCACAGTACAGGTCACCATGTGGTCCTCAGTACAGGTCACCACATGGTCCACAGTACAGGTCACCATGTGGTCCTCAGTACAGGCCACCATGTGGTCCTCAGTACAGGTAACCACATGGTCCACAGTACAGGTAACCACATGGTCCACAGTACAGGTCACCATGTGGTCCTCAGTACAGGTCACCACATAGTCCTCAGTACAGGTAACCACATGGTCCACATGTACAGGTCACCATGTGGTCCTCAGTACAGGTCACCACATAGTCCCCAGTACAGGTCACCACATAGTCCTCAGTACAGGTCACCACATAGTCCTCAGTACAGGTAACCACATGGTCCACAGTACAGGTCACCATGTGGTCCTCAGTACAGGTCACCACATAGTCCTCAGTACAGGTCACCACATAGTCCCCAGTACAGGTCACCACATAGTCCTCAGTACAGGTCACCATGTGGTCCTCAGTACAGGTCACCAAATAAGTCCACAGTACAGGTCACCACATAGTCCTCAGCACAGGTCACCACGTGGACCACAGTACAGGTCACCACATAGTCAGTACAGGTAACCACATGGTCCACAGTACAGGTCACCAAGTGGACCACAGTACAAGTCACCATGTGGTCCTCAGTACAGGTCAACACATGGTCCACAGTACAGGTCACCACATGGTCCACAGTACAGGTCACCACGTGGACCACAGTACAGGTCACCACGTGGTCCTCAGTACAGGTCACCATGTGCTCCTCAGTACAGGTCACCACATAGTCCTGAGTTCAGGTCACCACATAGTCCTCAGTACAGGTCACCACATAGTCCTCAGTCCAGGTCACCACGTGGTCCTCAGTACAGGTCACCACACGGTCCACAGTACAGGTCACCATGTGGTCCTCAGTACAGGTCACCATGTGGACCCCAGTACAGGTCACCATGTGGTCCCCAGTACAGGTCACCACATGGATCCCAGTACAGGTTACCACATGGACCCCAGTACAGGTCACCATGTGGTCATCAGTACACGTCACCATGTGGTCCTCAGTACAGGTCACCACGTGGACCACAATACAGGTCACCACGTGGTCCCCAGTACAGGTCACCACATGGTCCCCAGTACAGATCACCACATGGTCCCCAGTAAAGGTCACGACATGGTCCCCAGTGCAGGTCACCATGTGGTCCCCAGTACAGGTCACCACATGGTAAGTGTAAGTACTTTTCCATGACTGTGGAAATATGCATGTGGTCCCCAGTAAAGGTCACCACATGGACCCCAGTACAGGTCACCACGTGGTCCCCAGTAAAGGTCACCACATGGACCCCAGTACAGGTCACCACGTGGTCCCCAGTAAAGGTCACCACATGGACCCCAGTACAGGTCACCACATGGACCCCAGTTAAGGTCACCACATGGACCCCAGTACAGGTCACCACGTGGACCCCAGTTAAGGTCACCACATGGACCCCAGTACAGGTCACCACATGGACCCCAGTTAAGGTCACCACATGGTCCCCAGTACAGATCACCACATAGTCCTCAGTACAGGTCACCACATGGACCCCAGTACAGGTCACCACATGGTCCCCAGTACAGGTCACCACATGGACCCCAGTACAGCTGACCACGTGGACCCCAGTAAAGGTCACCACATGGAACAAAGTACAGGTCACCACATGAACCCCAGTAAAGGTCACCACATGGACCCCAGTTCAGGTCACCACATGGTCCCCAGTACAGGTCACCACATGGACCCCAGTTATCATATGGTCATCTGTACTGGTCACCCCATACTATCTGCTGTAATGGGCCTGTTCACACTGTATCTGTGTCTGGGACTTACCAGTATAGATTTTAGGGGCCTCCGCCGCAACACCCACTCGCCATTAGGTCCTTGGTCCTCTTCCTCCTCCTCCATGTTGTCAGGGGATTCTGGGAGGTCCAGCTTCAGCTCATCAGGGGAGTGTCGGTAGTACGTCATGGTCTCCGTGGGATGCAGATCAATCTCTGGCAGAGTGTTGATATTGCTGTAGGACCCCATGGAGTCAGGGTGCTGCAGAGACATATTCACTGTGTTACCACGACACATATTCACTATTACCACGACACATATTCACTATTACCACAGACACATATTCACTATCACCATTGACACATATGCACTATTACCACTGGCACAATTATTCACCGTATTACCACTGACACATATTCACTGTGTCACCATCAACACATACTCACTGTGTTACCACAGACAAATATCCACTGTATTAGCACTGACACATATTCACTGTATTACCACTGACACATGTTCACTGTATTACCACTGACATATATTCACTATTACCACCAATGCATATTCACCATTACCATCAACACATATTCACAGTATTACCATCAACACATATTCACTGTATTACCATGACACATTCACTGTACTACCACACATTCACTATTAACACTGACACATATTCACTATTACCATCGACACACAGTCACCATAACACGATTGACACATGTTCACTGTATTACCATGACACATTCACTGTACTACCACTCACACACATTGACTATTACCATAGACACATATTCACCGTAACATGATTGACACATGTTCACTGTATCACCATGACACATATTCACTGTATCATTGACACATGTTCACTGTATTGACCATGCATTCACTTATCACCACTGCATCACTACTGACACATGTTCACTGTATTACCATGACACATATTCACTGTATCACCACCGACATATATTCACCATATCATGATTGACACATGTTCACTGTATTATCATGACACATAAACACTGTATTATCATGACACATAAACACTGTATTATCATGACACATGTTCACTGTATTACCACTGACACATGTTCACTGTATCATGATTGACACATATTCACTGTATCACCATGACACATGTTCACTGTATCAACTAGTGACCAGCATATTCACCGCATCACTACTGACACATGTTCACTGTATTACCATGACACATATTCACTGTATTACCACTGACACATATTCACCATATCATGATTGACACATGTTCACTGTATTACCACTGACACATGTTCACTGTATTATCATGACACATGTTCACTGTATTACCACGACACATATTCACCATATCATGATTGACACATGTTCACTGTATTACCATGACACATATTCACTGTATTACCACTGACACATATTCACCATATCATGATTGACACATGTTCACTGTATTACCATTGACACATGTTCACTGTATCATGATTGACACATGTTCACTGTATTACCACCGACACATATTCACTGTATTACCATGACACATATTCACTGTATCACCATTGACACATATTCACTGTATTATGATGACACATATTCACTGTATTACCACTGACACATGTTCACTGTATCATGATTGACACATGTCCACTGTATTACCATGACACATATTCACTGTATTACCTTGACACATGTTCACTGTATTACCACTGACTCATGTTCACTGTATTACCATGACACATGTTCACTGTATTACCATGACACATGTTCACTGTATTACCATGACACACATTCACTGTATCATGATTGACACATGTTCACTGTATCATGATTGACACATGTTCACTGTATTACCATGACACATATTCACTGTATTACCACTGACACATGTTCACTGTATTACCACTGACACATGTTCACTGTATTACCATGACACATATTCACTGTATTACCATGACACATGTTCACTGTATTACCATTGACACATGTTCACTGTATTACCATGACACATATTCACTGTATTATCATGATGACATGTTCACTGTATTACCACTTCACATTGACACATGTTCACTGTATCACCACCACACACATTCACTGTATCACCATGACACACATTCACTGTATCATGATTGACACATGTTCACTGTATCACCACACACATTTCACTGTATCATGACACACACATGTTCACTGTATCACCATGACACATGTTCACTGTATCACCATGACACATGTTCACTGTATCACCATGACACACATTCACTGTATCACCATGTTCACTGTATCATCATGACACATATTCACTGTATTACCATGACACACATTCACTGTATCACCATGACACATGTTCACTGTATTACCATGACACACATTCACTGTATCACCATGACACATGTTCACTGTATTACCATGACACACATTCACTGTATTACCATGACACATGTTCACTGTATTACCATGACACACATTCACTGTATCACCATGACACATGTTCACTGTATCACCATGACACATGTTCACTGTATCACCATGACACACATTCACTGTATCACCATGACACATGTTCACTGTATCACCATGACACATGTTCACTGTATTACCATGACACATGTTCACTGTATCACCATGACACACATTCACTGTATCACCATGACACATGATCACTGTATTACCATGACACATGTTCACTGTATTACCATGACACATGTTCACTGTATTACCATGACACACATGTTCACTGTATTACCACTGACACATGTTCACTGTATTACCACTGACACATGTTCACTGTATTACCACTGACACATGTTCACTGTATTACCACTGACACATGTTCACTGTATTACCATGACACACATTCACTGTATCACCATGACACATGTTCACTGTATTACCACTGACACATGTTCACTGTATCACCACTGACACATGTTCACTGTATTACCACTGACACATATTCACTGTATCACCACTGACACATGTTCACTGTATTACCACTGACACATGTTCACTGTATTACCGTGACACACATTCACTGTATCACCACTGACACATGTTCACTGTATTACCATGACACATGTTCACTGTATTACCATGACACACATTCACTGTATTACCATGACACATGTTCACTGTATCACCATGACACACATTCACTGTATTACCATGACACACATTCACTGTATTACCATGACACATGTTCACTGTATCACCATGACACACATTCACTGTATCACCATGACACATGTTCACTGTATCACCATGACACATGTTCACTGTATTACCATGACACACATTCACTGTATTACCATGACACATGTTCACTGTATTACCATGACACATGTTCACTGTATTACCATGACACATGTTCACTGTATCACCATGACACACATTCACTGTATCACCATGACACACATTTCACTGTATCACCACATGTTCACACATGTTCACTGTATCACCATGACACATGTTCACTGTATCACCATGACACACATTCACTGTATTACCATGACACACATTCACTGTATTACCATGACACATGTTCACTGTATCACCATGACACACATTCACTGTATTACCATGACACACATTCACTGTATCACCATGACACACATTCACTGTATCACCATGACACACATTCACTGTATCACCATGACACACATTCACTGTATCACCATGACACACATTCACTGTATCACCACACACATTCACATCACCATTCACTGTATCACCACCACACACATTCACTGTATCACCATGACACACATTCACTGTATCACCACACATTCACTGTATTACCATTCACATGACACATTCACTGTATTACCATGACACACGTATTACTTCACTGTATTACCATGACACACATTCACTGTATTACCATGACACATCGTTCACTGTATTACCATGACACACATTCACTGTATTACCATGACACACATTCACTGTATCACCATGACACACGTTCACTGTATTACCATGACACACATTCACTGTATCACCATGACACACGTTCACTGTATCACCATGACACACGTACACTGTATCACCACCAAGCTGCGATCAAAGCGTTACTCTTGCTAACAACTGAAACTATTTTGCAGATGAAAGTTCTGCACTCTGCTAATTATATTTATGAAAAGAAATCGGAATCTATAACGTAATGCAAGTAATGCCTGGTTATCCCAGGACATGCTAATCCACAGGTTACTGCTGCCAATGAACTATGGTATATTATTCCTGTTTGTTCCCCATATCTTATGCACTTACATCAGTTGTAATCAGTTTGAGGATGAGGCCAACAGTTGGTGATCTGCCATCTTCTGTTAACATATCAGTGCCCTGGAAATAAACAGAAAATACATCAGATTTTTTTGTTGAAAACAACTGAGTTTCAGATAATCACATATGAAAATTGTGAGATTTCTACCATGAGCATGAGTTTTCTCTTTTCTTGGTATCAGTATATGTTGGTTCTGACAACAAGTTACTCATATGGATAGTACATGTTTATGCTGTAAATATTTAGTGACACTGTAAGGTTGTTTGTAATATGTGAGCACCTGTATTGGGAGTCCTTCAATGCGAAGCCCGTTCCGTGCCCGGTCTGCTGTAAGATGTGTGTACATCTGCTGGTCCAGCAGTAGGGAGGAAAAGCCAACCGGCGACTGAATCTTCCAGTAGTCATCATTCATAGCTGGAATACAAGCACACTGCCGTGAGAACAACACTCAGCCCATTATATAGCATTATATAGACTCTATGAACAATCTGCATATAACATATATATAATCACATGTCAGATATTAAAAATTATAATTGGCAATGAATCACATGAGAATATACACATATATCATGTGCATAATATATTATTACAAATTATCAAGAGAATATACACCTATATCATGTGCATTATATATTATTACAAACTACTTCAACCTTTTTCTAAAGAACTGCAGAAAACAAAGGATGAGTGAGTGCAGAAGACAACTCATGTGACAACTCACTTGTGTCAGCAACATAGTATTCTATGACAAGAGCAGCAGATGGTGTAAACATGGTGGCCTTGTCCTTCTCAGCAGAGAACAAGTATGGCTGGTTCCATGTTGGCTGCTTCTCTGGATGCCCTGGGAGGCTCACCTGAAGCAATGACCATCATGCTAGTGACTACTGGTGCTATTAAGTACAATACTGCCCTACACTACAGCACTTTTCTATATACTGTAAAGAAAAAAAAGTATACACCTAAAAACTGGATTTGACATCAAAATTTCACTAGGCTTAAAACAGTCGCTGAAACTGCACAAACGTAAATTCCAAAACACAAACTATGATACCCGTAACAAAAAGACACATTGAAAATATACATTTCCTCTTTGTTTCATTAGTTGTAACATTAAAACACAGGCATGTACTTTCTTCTGCCCAGCAGTTTTGACTGGAACCATTCTAATGTATTTATAGCCGATACTTGATTTGGGAAAGCAGTTGTCTTTACCTTTCATTATCATCATGCAGTACACGGTAATTAACAGCATGAACTTGAATTTGATTATACATATCGAGTATAACTCTGATAGAAAGGTACAAATTCAAACCATGAACATCTGTAGCTCACCAGACCTTTAAGTCATCTGTGATAAACAAAGACTTTCAGAAAGTCCTAACTATTGACAGAAATGGTGCCCTGAGCTGACCTGTGGGTATCCATGTTTAGATCTGGGGACCACACTAAAGGAGGACGGATGAGGGGATGGGAAGGTCACACTCGTCATACTGACACCAGCAGTCCGAGGGTGGGACATCAAGTTGTCAGCTCTTGAAACCAAACAAAATCAATATGAGATAGATTCAAAACCAACTTTGAACATTTCAGAGTTCTTTCTGATTTTCTCACCAGCGTGATAAATAAAAGCTCTCCATTATGTTAGGAAAAGAATAAACAATAAACTTGGGAAGCGTTCTTCTCAACCTTAAGGTTATAGATATGACAAAGTTAAATCCACTTGTAGCTCTTGCCTACAGTGGGTTGGATAAACACAAACACAGAACATGCTGCTTCCTAACCACCATTTTCAGCTGCAGATATTTTTATGGGATTACTCTCAATACTGACATCATTCGACAGGTCTCATTCCTATTTGTTTAAGTGTGGAAGGTGAGACTCACTTGTAGTTGTAGTAATCAGGCACAATCCTGGCCACCGCAACCAAGGGACCCGGGGGGTTCTGCACTGACCTCTGAACGGACCGCAGATATACCTGGAATAAATATACCATGTTCCATTCAATTTCAAGCCAACATCAATAAATTAATATTCTCAAATGATTTTTTTTTAAAAGAATTAAAATTAAGACAATTTATGGTAAATTTACTAAAGCCTTGGCACTTTTGTTGTCCTGTTTTCGGTGAATAACCAGTAATACGAAAATCAAAACCATATTAACATGCGCTCACATTTTGTATTCTGATAAATGACCAGATTTGTTTGCGATTTTTTACCCAATATTATGTTGGTCTTAAAGTAGGTATAGGCAAATCACTCTCTAGGATTTGTCCTATTCCTTAAAGTAGAGATTGCTATGTCTGACATGAGGCTGTGTCCTGCATGTGTGTGCTCCTGCCCTCCCTCCCTCACCTCCAGGCCGTGGTAGTTCGGGGATGACATCTCCTTGGGCAGCTTACTTAGCTTCCTCATCACAGAGGCGTACACCCTCACACCACTTGGGCTGTCTTTAGACGGCTGAAACATGGAATTGTAGACTGCATCATTTAAGAACAAGCACTGTAGCCCTTGAGAGTCATTCTGATCACAAACAGTTGTAAAATGAAATGATAAACTAGAGTATTAGCATGTAGGAATCAACTGTGATTTAGCAACACATCATGATCATCAAATACAAATGTATCTGCACTGAATTTCCTCAAAGCTTCATAGATATGCTGGGCTTACGCTAGGCCCTGCAAACACAATGATCTTGCACAACAACTCCAGTAAATCTGGGTTAAATAATGGACAGTTATAGGACAGGTTTCTCTCTAACTCCATTAGTTGGTTTCAGTGTCAAGTCTGTTCAATGGCAGAGGCCAACTGAACACCATGGTTCATCAGTTGTCATAAAGTTATGTGAAAATACAATATGATGAAGAAAGCACTATTAACACAGGGTAACCAGTAATTGAAAGAGTGACTGTTTCTTTAACACCGTATTCGTCAATATTCCAGCTACTGGGGTGGCCTGTAAACAGTGGAGTATTGACAAGGCAAACCTATGACTAAATGCATGAATAATGATCCGGGATGACAACATGCAGTCATCTGTTTCACTGGGATGTATTCTACCCCGGGGTCCCGACAGTGGAGTGAACTAGAACCTGTAGCTGGGTTACTACAGTGAGTGGATGGCTGCTACTCACCACCACCATCTCCATGTGATACTGGTGGAAAGGATGCAGGTGACCCACAGGGATCTTGTAGTTGACCAGGGTCTGCTTGCTGACACTGTCTCCAACCGACAACACCATGGCTACAACAAATAACAGCAGGTCAGCCTTTGTAATTTCTGCAGACTCTGATGTAAGAAAAGGGTGTGCTTTAATTAAATCAGCAAAACTGGTACCTACTCTTGATCAAAATCATTAAATGGGAAGACTGTTTTATAGTTATGTGGACTCCCAAGTTCTTGAAACTGCAATACATGGACCTACTTTCATCAGGAGCTTTATTCTCATCCAGCTCTAAAGAGAGACGCTCTTCCCACGTCGGGGCACTTGTGGGACGGATGGTGGCATGGGTTCTGCCCTGGGCTCGGACATGCCGGTCATCTTCAGATTTGGTCTTGCTGGAAAATAATTTAATTATTACTCTGGCTGGCAAGATGTACCTGGGCCTTGTATGTAGATTTTAACACTAAAACAATTTTATAGGCCAGTGCATGTGAAGGAAACAGTTGACGGTATTCCCTGCGTGCACTAACATTCTGCAGCTACCCTGTTGTATCTTATGTTGACTGTCATGCCACAGAATTTCTAAATTGAAAAGACATTGAGGCATAGAGCACAACATTACTGTACTTCATTAAGGCATATTAAGGCACAACATACATTGTAGCTGTTCTCATATTGTGGCATAAAGCACAACATAACTGGTCTCACATTGAGGCATAAGTCACAACAGAGGTGTTTTCACATTGAGGCATAGGGCACAACATACTAGCTCCACACACTGTACTCACATTGAGGTATAGGGCACAACATACTAGCTCCACACACTGTACTCACATTGAGGTATAGGGCACAACATACTAGCTCCACACACTGTACTCACATTGAGGTATAGGGCACAACATACTAGCTCCACACACTGTACTCACATTGAGGTATAGGGCACAACATACTAGCTCCACACACTGTACTCACATTGAGGTATAGGGCACAACATACTAGCTCCACACACTGTACTCACATTGAGGTATAGGGCACAACATACTAGCTCCACACACTGTACTCACATTGAGGTATAGGGCACAACATACTAGCTCCACACACTGTACTCACATTGAGGTATAGGGCACAACATACTAGCTCCACACAGTACTCACATTGAGGGGCATAGGGCACAACATACTAGCTCCACACACACTGTACTCACATTGAGGTATAGGGCACAACATACTAGCTCCACACACTGTACTCACATTGAGGCTATAGGGCACAACATACTAGCTCCACACACTGTACTCACATTGAGGTATAGGGCACAACATACTAGCTCCACACACTGTACTCACATTGAGGCATAGGGCACAACATACTAGCTCCACACACTGTACTCACATTGAGGCATAGGGCACAACATACTAGCTCGAGGCATAGGGGACAGCATACTAGCTCCACACACTGTACTCACATTGAGGCATAGGGCACAACATACTAGCTCCACACACTGTACTCACATTGAGGCATAGGGCACAGCCCGGTTGCCTTTGTTAGTTGGGGGCACACTGGAAGCCCCATGGAGGATCACATCAATCTGTTCCTTGCCAGTCTGAGACACATGGCGCCACCCCGGTCCCATACTGAACGTACTCTGGTCTCGGTTAGGCAAAGGGGACTCGGCCATCTGGAGAGTATGAGCTATTGTCAATTTTGAACTAAAAGGGGCTATAGTTTTTGTGCCCTGTGGAATCAGGACATATTTTGTATGGAAGCTAATATCTACATTTATTTGAGTTAATATCTACATTTATTTGAGTTAACTCATATTCAGACAGGCACTGCACTTGGCCTGTTGCTCCACAGTACTTACACATATAACATACACATGTACAGCATTAGCAGCCTTCCCCATGTACAACCCAAATACTTCATGTCATTATCACAGACAAATTTACAGTGTGGAAATTGCATTGGCAATAATCATTGCAGAAGGCATCCCAATGTTTTGTCATCAATAATGTCAATTACAGTAATATATTACTTGCTGTTAATCCTGAATAAGCGATTAACTCACTTGTCTTCCATCGGAGAGCGGTGGGGGTGGGGGAGACTGGGGAAGTGTGATATTGAGAGAGAGATTGTCCCCCCAGGAACTGACAGGGGAAGCACGTCTCGGAGGGGGAGGCGGTGGTGTTTCAACTTTCACTGGCCGGGGAGATGGTCTGACTACAGGTTGAGGGCGTGGAGTAGGTCTGGGTGAAGGGGTAGGCTCTGGCGACGGTCGTCGATCGTTTCTCTTTGGTGTTGTCACTGACTCTTTCAACGCAAATGTGCATCGTAACCTTCCACAATGCATCTGGATATTGTCTGTTTTGACGGTTCGGAGAAGTGACACAATATCTGTATAATTGTACATATCGTCACCAGTCTTGACCTTGAGATTGATCCGAGGAGCATTAGTGCGAGGGTAGATGGCAAACTTCCCCTCCCCCACCTTTTTCCCCATGTCATTGTCTTTCTCTGGCAGACTGAATGCCTCAATGAGCAGATACACATCATGGTTCTTATCATTCTTACAGAAACCTAAAACAAAGAAAACAAGAGAGGCAAATAGACATAAATACCAGATCTGAACTGATCATGCATCAACATACATCTTATTAAAATAAAAGCAATTATGACTCTCTCATGGAAAAGTTTATGCATCATTTTAGGCAGGTACCATAATAGTGATTTATACATTTATTATGTTCACTCGTGATATTTTCCGGTTCTCATTAATATTCACTAGGGACAGTGTAAACTCTGAGAGAAGTAAAGCTAGTTTGGGACATTAATGGTTTGTGGTTTACACTATGTTGGGTGTAGTATTATTGGATGACAGCATAATAAAAAATCACATTAACAAAATAACACCATAACCAGGCAGGCAAAGCAAGGTAACACTTGAAAACTGGATTTGACCCAAAAAAAGTTACAAACCTTACCAAAACATTACTAGGCTCAAAACAGTGACCAGAACACTGATTATTCTATGTTCAAGTTTTGGCCACGATCAAATATGGGGTTGTACTTTCTTGTTACTGTCAGCTTAGTCAATACAAAAAATGAGTTTTCAAATAAAAAATACATACAAATTAGGGCTTTGTTATCTTATGTTAACTATATCCAGACAAGCAGGGTGAAGTTTTAAGGATTTGTATTTACTTCATTAGAGTCATTGATTCAACTTCCATTTGACCATACCTTCAACTGACAGTGAAGCTCTCCAACACAATCACTTATGTTTACCTTGCTCTCAAGCTGTTCAACTAAAATATCTTGTGATCAACCGGTGGGTGGGTGTCAAGAGCATATCAAACACACACACAGCCAAACACATGCACAGCATTAAGGCAATATTTATTGCAAAGAGTTCCCAATATTAACAGGAAAGCAAACCACTCATGACCATGTATGTTTTCAGATCTGCTCACATCACTCATGAACAGTATTCATTAGAAGTTTTCCATCTATCTCAAATTATCCTTTTTCCCAAACATATATAAATAACATGCATCTTGGTTGTGAATGTCTATGAACGTGATAATGAGACATCAAGATAATTCAACAGACAGAATTTTTCTTCCCTGTATTTTGAATTTAAATGTAATTGCCTGATCTCATGTAACATAAGTTATATTTTGGATTACACTTTCTTAGTAAAGTACAAATTCTAGTACTTTTTTTAGTTGAGCCCCATCCGGATTCGAACTCACTGCCTGATCTCAGTTCTTACTGAGAGTAACAAATATGCTCATCATACCTCCATTAACTGTAATAATTCTTTCACTGGGATTAAATAAAATCACTTTTTAAATATAAAATCTTAGATGTAATATAACCCTGTGTTTATATTGGTGAACAGGAAATGACAGACATTATGCCTTTCACCATGTTCACTACCATTATCTAGTGTTTGGTTATTCAGAGAACATAACACTCACCTTTAGGAAGCTTAAATGAGAAGAATCTGTCATGGAATGTACAGAGTTCAGCATCTGCAGTCTGCTGGACCACATCTGTTAAACCCTCGTTTTCATAAGTGTAATCATCATAGGGTGGCTTCTTAATACGGATCTGTGAAAAGTTATGTGTATGAAGACTCTGAATTCTCAGCTTGAGGAAATATTTGCCCATATGGTTGAACTGGGCATCATGAATCTCCACATCGAATGTCAACTTCTTCTGTTCGATGGTTGCCATTTTGTTCCTTGTTTTTACTTTGCAATCTTCAGTTCTCTGCTCTCACCATTGTACTAGAAATGGTAACAAAAGCAATGATAAAAGCAGACGATCTTCCCGATGTGAAACCGAGGCATGACGAACCCGAACCCGTCTCTATGCACATACATATTCCGTCATAAACACTGACCGGCCTATGTAAACGTCACTGAAGAATGCTCGTTTTTCAAAAGAGACACCAGTTGAATGGTTCAGTTGGTTTAGCTTCCACTCCAGCATACAAATATAGTTATCAGTACGACTGCCTTTTACTTCACATGTATTGCAAGGAGCCTATCAGATTGGGTTTCTCAACACCATAGAAAGTTATGTGAATGCAGACAATAGCTGGTGCTCAAAAGCAGCCTGTTGTAGGCATGGAACCCAATCATTCAGATCACTGTCAATAGAGCCCCACCTATTCATCAGAAAATTAAACCATAAAACATATTGTAGGGTTTGTATATTGTGACTTCTTCATGGATCAATGTTTATCTCCACAAGGAGCGTATTGAATCCTCAATCAAAGTCAACAACGCTATCAAAAGTGATCAATAGGCACAGCACGTTCCCCTTGACTTCGATCGTGAAAGGGAAGCCCAGTCATTCTCGGACAGACAAAGGAATAGGCTTGATCGAGGACATAACGGCATCATACAACCAACTCATTTATCGACGTATTCGGTTCGAGGTGACACTCAGCTCATTAAATTACAAAAGGTTATTTTGTATCCACAAATCAGTATACATTTTTTGTACATATTACTCCTGTAAAATTTAATATTTTTTCAGCGTCGTAATATTGCTGAATCGTGAAAATTTCGATATATACCCTGATATGATGGTTTACATGCGTTTAATTTACCATGAAATTAACCATATAAGCCAAAAGAGGGCTATGAAAATACAGACCTTTCTCATTTTCAAACTGCTACATATATCACTGTATATTATTTCAATCATGAAAGTCACAACTTGAAGATGGCAGAGAGCTTTGACTCCTGGTAAGACTAAAGTTCCGTGGCGCGCCATTTTGAAAACGTCAGGTGACTGTCACGTGTTACAACAGTCTGTCACGTGCATACTTTTACTACTGCTGACTAATGCAAGTTTTACAGTGGGTTTACTCACTTTTTAAAAAAAATGTGAAGGTAAAACCCACCGATCTAATACAAGTACTGCTTAAAGAAATGCTGAACTGTTTTGACGTTAGTCACTGGACACAACTCCTCCCCTCAGTTTAATTTAATGTCTCCAATCGCAAAAACTGAAACAGTGGAAGGCTTCAATTCTGTGAACAAAAATGAACCATATATAGGAGTTCTGTTCCCGAACAAAAACCTGCCTACGATACATTAAAAAACATCTTATATTATTATATTGGACACGCCAAAACATATCAGAATACCACGACAAAACAAAATGGTACCAGATCAACATTTGTCTAATTTGTATGCAAAGTTTCACAATGTCATGTACAGCTTATGAGCTAAAGGGAAATGGAAGCGAAGCTGGCCATATTTAACCTGAGGAATCTTACATTATATATCGGTTCAAACGAGATATCGAAGTGCGACATTTGAAACAACAGCTTGGATATCCAACGACTAAACGGACATTCCGAAAAGCAGGATCCCGTAGTTTCATATTTCATGTACATGGCGACAAAACGCTGCGAAACATCAGGAAAAGCTCAGGTGGGACAGAGAGTGAGTGATATATCATACAGATACAAATATTAAAGTGTCGCTCGTTTCAACAGCTACATAAGAATACACCATGTTTTCACTGTTAAAAGTGGTGTCCAGCCTACGACTTCTGTACCCTTTCAACCTCATATACAAACTATGTCAATGAACGTTTACTCTACTGCAGTACCATTTGTATTTTCTGTAGTTTGAGCGATGGGGTATTAAAATCTCTCTCTCTCTCGTCACGCGATCGATGCCGCACATGGCCTGTCCTGGTGTCCCTTCGCCCTTCCTGGAGTAAAACTCACTCATTCACTCGCCTCAATAGTCACTGAAGCGTATGTAAAATATACGGAAGTACAAGAAGTGGACGTGTGAATAAATGTCTTCAGCGATAAACATCAATATCTGTTCGTCAAAGGAATATGTAGAAACATTATTTGTGTTTGCCCTGGATTAGGCTTATATACTGAGTCAAAAAAGAAACATCACATTCTTTCTTCAGGGCACTATAAAATAACAAGAGATGGTAAGATGGTTAAATTGTTATTATTTCATTGCTGAGATCTGTGTGATGTACTCGATACACTGACAGTGCCATAATCAGTTCCATTAGGCTACACCGCCGTTCCAAAACATGGGTATACAGAATGTCAAGTCACAAGAATAAAAATGCGAAATTTCTCAGTTCAATATCGTGTATGGCCGCCCCGCGCATTCACCACTGCCAAACACCGTCTCCTCATCGACTGCCTGATGCTTGTGATTACGTGGTTGGGGATTCTGCGCCATTGCTCTTGCAAGACAGCGCCAAGTTCCTGCAAATTCTGAGGTTGGTTCCTAAGACCACGAAGCCTTCTCCCAAGTGCATCCCAAACGTGCTCTATTGGATTAAGGTCAGGGGACCTCGATGGCCACCAGTCCATGACGTTGATTCCAGCGTTTTGAAGGAAATTTCGTGTCAACATCGCAGTATGCGGCCGAGCATTACCATGCTGGAACTGTAGACCTGGGCCATGAGCCGCCATGAAAGGAACGAGTTCAGGGGTGAGCACCTGGTCGCGGTAAGCAGCAGCTGTGAGGTTTCCACGGATGACCAGAAGTCGGGAACGGTTGTTCCCACAGAAATCACCCCACACCATGCAACTTCCGCCCCCGAATCTGTCGACTTTCTGTACACAACATTGGGCATACCGTTCACGACGTCGTCTCCAGACTGCCGTCCGCGAATCTGAGGGTAAACCTGGATTCATCGCTAAAGACGACTCGATTCCATCTCTCTGGGTCCATCGGAGGTGACGTTGGGCCCACAGCAGACGTTGACGTTGATGAAACGGCGTCAATATTGGCCCACGATATGGACGTCGAGAATTGAGATTGGCAGCCTGCAACCGATTTCGAATGGTCTGTGAGGACAGTCGACCTCTAAACATCTCAGCCCTGGTTCGTGTAGCCGGCAGAAATCTGTCACGTAGGTGACGTAGGACGATTTGACGGTCTTCTGCTCGTGACGTCACACGTGGACGACCCGACCTTGGGCGATCAGACGTGGTGCCAGTTTGTTGTAGACGACCTCGCAAGTCATACACAGTACGACGGCTGCATCCCATTGCTCTTGCGACGTCAATAACTGATCTTCCCGCTTGCAACATGCCAACGGCACGTTCACGTTGCACATTTGACAATCGTGGCATTTCAAGTACCGTTAGAACTGTGGTTTAAAAGTGTTTTTTCAATTCTTGAGGCCAATGCAAACACGTGCATATGAAGAAAACTTCGATGCGAAGATCACGTGATCGACTGCACGTGCAAAACCTGATTTGGCACTAACGTCATTTGCACGACGAATCGATGGGTTTGAGTGGGTTTTCCTAACGTTTTTCTAGAGTCGAAAGATAGGGATCCCATTTCGGATACATAGATGTATCATCAGAGAAAAATTATTCATTATTTTTCAAATTACATTTTGTGAAGTTTCTTTTTTGACTCAGTATATATTATGATGCGACGTTTCGGTATAGATTCTTATACCGTTGTCAAGCAAGAGTGACCGAAACGTCGCATCACACTATAATAAAGAGGTTGTATCTATAAAGTATCGTACCTTTCTTATTATTCATCAACTTCTAAAATGCCAATCAAACATATTATGTTCACGCTCCCAAGAATTGCATTCACGTAATTGAAATCAAATGTAATCGAATCGATCTTCAACCAAATCGAGCTGATTAACAATATATACATTAACTTTCTACATTATTAATGGGTCTTACATGGCGGGTTTTGTATAACTTAACTCAGGATTCAGCGATCCAGCAGGAACAAAATGATACATGTATATAACTTTCTAAAAAACTTAAAAGATAATCATTTCTAGTAATTGTTGCATGGCAATAATGAAAGACGTTGGAACACACCACAATCAGTATCAGTAGATGACAGATGACAGATGACCTCTAATGATCTTGCTAAGGGCTAAGAACGGAATTTAAAATTGACGCAGTTTCTTTTTTGACTCAGTATATATACTCAGACGCAAAAGCCATTGTGACATAGAACTGTTCCATTGTAAATTCTGTGAGTGATGTTTTGGTTTTGAACCAGACAAAGATTGTGTTAAAATGGTCGAAGAATTGCAATTAAACAGTTGTTGCTTGATTTGCACTACACGTGCAAGAAGCATGGCCTATTCGAGACAAATGGCCTTCAATGTGCACTCAAGGATGCCTAACAAGAACACGCAACTCATTTCCACTCTACGTAGTTCAAGAAGTCAGGAAAACTCCCCTATTCGACGTTCTGGAATAACATCGACAAGCCATGCCTTGGGGAAAATAACAGATGGAGAGCTATAGGTAGCAGTCTGATACCTCGCAGCGTTGCTCGAGGATTCAAAGTCTATAGAAACACCATTTTGCACTTATGGCTACGTTTTAAGCAAAACAATCAAGTTATAGACCGTAATCGTCGTGGTCGTAGAAGAGTCCCATGGGTTCGAACCTCGCAATACCAACACACGTTCCAGCCTGCAACCCTTTCAGCCAGTGCCTTACCTGGCAACAGAGGTGTATGTTCGACGACGTCTACGACATCCGTGCAAGACATCCTACCCGACGGCAAATTCTGACGCCAGAACATCGATCTCTCCAGTGGAGGAGACAACACCTGCGATGGGGAGCATGTTGTTTAATAATAATAATAATAAAGTGCATCTGTACTGCGCACAATCCAGACATAAAGCCTGCTCAAGGCGCTACAACGTAACGTTAACAGTATGGAGTAGAGATTTGAATTTGATAGGAGTAAGTGAGTCAGATGCATTGTAGAGAACAGGTGTTTTTTGGGTCGCCGTTTTTAGCAATATTCCAGCAATATCACGGCGGGGACACCTGTAGAAATGGAGTGAGTTGCTTAACACATTGTACCCATGGGGAATCGAACCCGGGTCTTCGGCGTGACGAGCAAACGCCTTAACCACTAGGCTAATGGTTACTACTAGGCTACCCCAGAATTTGATAGGAAGGTAAGTAGAAAAGTCAGATGCATTGAGAGAACAGGTGTTTCAGACCATGTGTTCTGAAAGGGTATCATTATGCGTGTGGGGGCGTTATGATCGTTAATGTTAGTGTTTTGCATGATCTGATTTGTCGCCCACTGAACACGTCCGCGATGAAATGGAGAGATGTTAACGTCACCCGAAATCTCCAACGCCGCCACAGGAACTCCGTCAAATCCTTCTTCAGATCTGGCATGATCTTCCCCAGGACTTTCATCAACTTCTACTGGCCTCAACGAGGCGAACGTGCCAGACTTGCATCAATCTACGGCGGACACTCTCGCCGTCCTGACCGTGTGAATATGCCAGGTGTGCTACTTTCATGGACTGTTGATTATTACCATTCTTTGAAACATTTGCTTCCGCGTAATAAGATCATTCGTGACAGAAAAAGTTAAACACTGATACTGTTTTCCTGTTTGCGAGTCAGAATAACGTTTGCCTTTGAATCTGTGTTCGTGATTCAGTTACTGTTCGTTCGTGAGTGGACAAACGATTCATAGTTGGCTTAACAGATGGAACCTGCATGTCCGTCCACTTGTTATCCCACGATTGATGCACCGTCAGATTACTGCAAGGCGTCGTTGGTGTCAAGATCAGACAAACTGTAACTGTGCAAACCTAGTGGGTTCTTTACGTGAATCAAGGTTTACTTTGGACTTCCTTAACATGAGTTTGAGAGTGTGTCGAAGAGGGAATGAGCGTTTTCATGCCGTTAACGTTGGACAGAACGATCTTTTGGAGTGGCTCAGTAAAGGTGCAGGGTGCGATCACTGTGACAGGCAGAACATACATGTTTATCATGGACGTGTTACTGGGCACTACTACAGTGACAACATCCTGAATTCACACGAGGTGTCATTTGCGCTCCGACATGGACGCCATTTTGTGTTTCAGGATGACGACGCAAGAGCACACAAGGCTCGTATTAAATTGTTAACAACAGAACATAGACACCTTAACACGTGATATTAATGAGTTTGACGTTCCATGGTAAATATATCTGTCGTCATCTGACATATAACGACTAACACAATTCTAAGTCTAAGTCCTATATTTCTGGAACAAGACCGGGCTTCCACTGAAAGGCTCGAATTCCATGTATTCTCCCAGACTGATCACTGTAGCACTGTGTTCACGTTAGACAACAAAATGTCTGTAAATACCATCAATTTTAATTTGCTTACACTTCTTTATAATCAACTCTTACCGAATTTTTTTATACCTGCGTACACAACACTGTGTGGTGTGCCACTTGATTAACTGCAGATTCACACCAAATAAATAATTAAGTAAAATATGTTTAACATGCACAATTTACTTCAGATCCAAACCGTAGACTTCAGAAGTACTTGTTAGAAGAAATAAACACAAAGACAACTTGAATAACCTTACATCATGACGAAAAACATAGCAAAATCACATTAACATTTATTAACAAATCAGGTTTTGTACATGACACATTACTGTCTTTTAATATTGCATCATATTCATTATCCCATCACTAGTACCCAGTCACCATGTGATACAAGCTCATAATCTTCAAGGTTAAGTCAAGAGTCAGCATCCCTCTTCAAACATCAATATTATCCACATGTCCACAATGACTGCCTGTCTTAATAATTCTCATAGCTGTATGACCATAGCTCAGACTTTATTCACAGCTCCACACCATACTAGAATTGTTGCAAATTAAATTTTAAAAGGAAATTTAACAGTTCTGTGTTATCATACTTATACCTATTAATTTATCCTTAAATTGAATTAACCTAAAACAAAGGTGAAACGTATCTCCTGTAAATAATAATGTGCTACCCTGATCCATGTTGAAATGTGAAGCTGTCATCTCAGTATGTGTTAAAGGAATGTCAAGGAACATCATAATGCAGTATTGCCATAGGCAACTGTTTTACCAAAACAATCATAAACATCTTTGTCATCTCAGAACACTGTGACACAAGTAAGGTACCTTTCTTAATTATTACTTCTATATTTGTCTGCATTAAAGGACACTGAAAATACACTGAAGTCAGTTTCTTATTAACAGATGAATAACAATTTCAGTGGCTGCTACTTATAGCACTAAAACCTGTAGACAACTATACAGAATCAGTGACATGTTCAGCACGATCAGGCAAGACCTTCACTCTGTCAGCGTACAAGGAAATAGTTATCCAGGAGTGAGTGTCATATTGTTCTTTTCTCTCTACGGAAACAGTAAACACACACAAAATACTTCTTGGTCAGCCAAAGAAATGCCTTAGAATCTTTTTTATATATACTAGGCACAAAAAATAAAGGAACCCCTTGACTTTGTGAAGCATGTATAATTTAATCAGCACAACTGTACGGTAAGTATGTCAGATATACTTCATAACGAGTGTGTCCACCATGAGCAGCAATACATGCACGCCACTTTGCAGGCATGCTGGACACCAACCGCTGAATTGTCGCCCTTGGAATCACGTGCCACTCTTGCTGCAGTGCTCTCCCTAACACATCCAGATTTGCTGGTGCAGGCTCCCTGAGACGCACTCAACGCCCTAACACATCCCACAGTTGTTTGATAGGGGATAGATCTGGTGTTTTAGCCGGCCAGGGTAAAGTTGTAACACCTTGTTGTTGCATGAAGTTCACGGCAACAAGAGCTCTGTGAGGACGTGCATTATCGTCCTGAAACACAAATCTTCAACCTGGCCTGCGAGCCACTGGAACCATGTGTGGCCGTAAGATCTTGTCCATATACCGCTGGCCTGTCAAATTACCCCATACAAGAATCAAATCACTCCTCCTGTTGAAAGAAATTCCTCCCCAGACCATGATAGAGCCGCCTCTATAAGAATTGTGTTCCTGTACCGTGGGTCTCCCATAACGCTCTCCTCGGCAACGCCACTTGTCCATCCGTGAATCACAAACAAAGGTGGGATTAATCACTAAACATCACATGTCGCCATTGCCGGTTCCCCTCTTCTAACATTGCTGAGCCCACTGATAACGAAGACGTCTGCAGTTAGCTGTCATCGTCACGCCTTTGAATGGATGTCTCCTCGACCGGTCCTCATTTTAACACCCCTTGTCTGACGGTAAAGGTTGATGAGACAGGAAATGACGCTTTTGGACTTCCTGAAGGACCGGGCAACACTATTCTGAGATTGTCCACCCTTTTTCATGCCAATGGCCTGCCATTTCTGTGCGTTTGTCAGATACTGTCGAGGTGGCATTTTCACAAGAGATATTGGGACACATTTACTGTCAGTTTTATAGGCTAGAATGCACGTGTATCATGTAAAGGTAAACTGGTGCTGACTGTTGTGTCAGCCGTAAGTGATTTCCGATCTGGGTTCGAATGCAATCAGCTTGTAACTTTCATGTAGCATTGTTTCAACTAAAAATTCCATTTGGGGGTTCCCATATTTCTTGTGCCTAGCATATCTTGAAATAATGTGCATCGAATTATGGCTGAATATGGAACTTGTACAAGTATTCCTGTAACTGTCAAAAGTCTTCTGCAAAACCTGTCTGGAACATGGCATCATACATGGTACATCTCACTTCTGTGGTTCATAAAAGTGATCATATAGCACTGTGCCCGGGATGGAGGTAGTGATTCCGATTGTGTAAGTACTGACATCAGCAAAATCTGTAACCACCACAGACAGTGGGCAGGATGATAACTATTACATTGGTTACTTCTTGCCTGCAACAGAAACGTTACTTTGTTATAAATTCTGTTCCAATAAAATGGCTATGACATGCAACATTTACCATTCATACACTGAGTACATCAGGTCAGAGGTGAAACCAGTACACCAAAATGTGAATTGTCGTAATTCATTCTACGCCCTTAACCAAATGTGTGTATCAATAGTATAGTGGTTAATTTTAATCACACTGAATCAACGAAGAGTTAAAGTTTAGTGAGATTAACCCTATAACCAACAGCAGTGTTCACCAGTTCCACTGACCAAGTTTCAGCCACTTGGGAGCTTTCTCTCCAGACTTTGCCCCAGATGATGACCTTGTGCTAGATGACTCTGTTCGGGATGTTGTTGCTGCTGCTGACTTTGGACCAACTGTTTCCGAGGAACCTGGCTCACAGCTGGGAAGGCTGAAAAGGACAAGGACAAGCATATACATTTCTATCCTTTATCTCAAAGTTATATTGTAAGATGTCAACTTGTATTTGTTTTCAAGCATTTATAATCCTCTCAAAACAACTTCTCATGGAAGTCATAATTAAATACTTGCTTAAGTCATTTTCAAATTTAGAAATTACGACGTTGACCCATATCCCTTAGTTCACGTAAGTTTTAACCCTACTACACCATACACAATACAGGCAACAGAGTTATCTGCACATTTTACCTCTTGAATGCCAGTTGCTCTGCCTGTTCTCGGGTAGAAATCTCGGCCCTTACACCGCCTGAGAGATAGTGATCTGAAGATAGGACATATATCTGATATCTCACACCTTACATCATCAGCAGCACACATGTCTAACATTGGAATTCAAACTTCCCAGTTCTAGTTATTAAAGATAGAACTAATGGCTCTTGCTGAGATGACTTATATTTCACCAACAATAAGACCAATAAAGCAGTAGAGGCTTAATGTTAAGTTTGCACTACTGCATTCATTGCTTAGGAAAATACTTCTGAATTTATGAAAATATTAATCTCTAAAATCATCCAATAATTTTGTATTCCCAAATTGTCCTTGCTTGAGATGCTAAATACATACCTCAAATTAAATATATTGATCAATGATGTCAATGAAGTCTATTATGAGCTGGTTCAAGAATGTAAAACAAACAGCTTATCATTTTCCAAATGTCAAGCATATATCAATATGTACCTTTGGCAACATCACAGCCGAAGTAGATACGTGTAGCTGGGACAAGGTGAGCCTACAGGACCAGATAAAGAGGTATCACAAACAGTTTCTTCTCCTAGATCTCTCAGCATATAATCATCAAAGTAATCTTGGTTGTCTTGTGTATTAAAGATGGGCAACATAGTCTGATGACACATGTATATGTAGAATTTTGAATCCAACAAAGTATTCAAATAAATCCATATGCAAACAAAACCATTACTCAAAACCATGTTTGTCCAGTAACCCAGGCTTCTGGTCAGTTACTCCTGGCAATGTTCATACAGAATTTAAATCTAATACATGCTTATGACAGAATGTTATTTGCCAAGGTCCCCATACTTTAAAACAGACTTATGACAGCTTTATGTGACATGGCGCACAGGGGTTTCATAGCCTAATCTGTCATATCAATAAGTGTGTTGCTCAGGCATTGACTTTCGTGATATCCTCACCTCTATGAGAGTGGAGCTCCTGTCCTTAAGGACACTCTTTGGAGGTGTTGTATCTGTAAACAAAGCCATGTCACATGATCAAAACATAAATATTCCACATGCTTCTCACACAATACTATGATTCTGTATCTTGTTTAGTGCCCTTTCCACAACACACATTTACCAAATAATTGTATCATTATCATCAGTGATGCAAAGTCATTGTTGCTTCAGGGTGTTTCAATTAGCTTGTCGAGAGAGAGATCGAGAGAGAGAGAGAGATCGAGAGAGAGAGAGAGAGAGAGAGAGAGAGAGAACAAAAAAGAGAGTGAGAGTGAGGTTTTATGTCACTTTTAGCAATATTCCATCACTGTCACGGAGAGGGACACCTGAAATAGGCTTCACACATCGTACCCATGTGGGGTACACAAGTCCTCAGTGTGATGAGCGGACGCTTTAACCATGGGGCTACCCCACCTCTCACAAGAAGCTGGTTGTGTTTGGTAGTTATAATTTACATTGTGAAATAAGGATTCAGCTATGAAAATTCAAACCTCAACCTTCTTATTTCAATATTAGTTACGTTTTTATGCTTTGTCATTTAAATATTTGTCAACAGAGCACTGATACTCACTTGTTACTCTGGTTTCAGGAGAGTATCATAGTTCAGTCAGAAATACACATTCCCTGCTTCCACGCACTAGTTTCTCATGGCCTCCGGTGACAGATGTAAGGTTCTGTCATGACCAATCACTTCCAGTAATAAGTGACCAGCCCTAAATAAAGTGTTCCAATGCACACACACACACACGCACCTAAACACTAACACAAATCTAACTGGACAATAATCTACTATAATAAACGTCCATGTAATGTAGTGGTGAAGAAGCATCCGTATAAGGTGATAACTTACAAAGGTAAAATGGGGTCGTTTTGTCCTGAAGATGTTCTTTTACAAACTTCTGAACAGCAAACACTGCAAGAACATAACACATGTCATTAACTACACCATGTCTCAGACCATGTTAATCGTATGTGATGTCACAGTCACAACACTCAGACTAGGACATCAACAGGGATATATTAGAGCATAGAAGTTCTTGTTTTAGCACCATGGTGATATGGAATGCAATGAACATGTGACATCCACTTGTAAGTCAGAACAATGAGTGAGCAAGCATTGCTTTATGCCACATCAGCAATTTTGCAGCTATTTCTGATGAGAAAATATAATAATAAAGTTAACACAATAAAAGTGATGTTGCAAATAAGTAAAATCTCAGTCAAACATAATATTTGTGGCGGTGTATGGTCCTGTGCGCAGAGCTCAGGTCACAATCAGTTGCAGCTGAGCAACATAAGGCAGAGAGCCCTTGGATGGGTGACCGTGTTTAGTAGCTTGACTCCTGAGAGTTTCTTGGACTTCATTCCTGCCCCACAATGAAGCACATGTAATACACAAGGTCTCACCTTAGGCAAGTGAGTTTGTTCAAACTTGCCTCTGTCCACCTAGCAGTAAATTGGGTACCTGGTATGATACGATGGTAGTCTGAATTTGAACATTCAACGCCTGACAGTCGACTGGTTGTATTCTCCACAGGGAGTGTTCTGTACTTGTTGACCAGGGGTAATATGTCAGCACTTTGAGCATGCAATGTGCATGGACAAAAGCACAATATAAATGGACTATTATTATTACTATTATAATATTTAAGGGTAATGGACATTTTTTCATACAGTTTACTTTGTCTTAAATACGCTAAATTCAAGTGGTCAGAAACTGTTTCAGATAAAGTAGGAACAACATTATAAAAATGTTGACTAATAAGCAAAAAATCAAATAATTCAAGCAAAATGTGCTTGATATTAATGGGTCTATGGCAATGGTTGAATTGCAGTGGATCTTCTTTTAATAAAAGGAATGTGTACAGTAATCACCAAGTCCTACCCTGCCATCTAATCACCAAGTCCTATCCAACCATCTAATCAACACGTCGTATCCAACCATCTAATCAACAAGTCCTACCCTGCCATCTAATCACAAAAGTCCTATCCAACCATCTAATCAACAAGTCCTATCCAACCATCTAATCAACAAGTCCTATCCAACCATCTAATCAACAAGTCCTATCCAACCATCTAATCAACAAGTCCTACCCTGCCATCTAATCACCAAGTCCTATCCAACCATCTAATCACCAAGTCCTATCCTACCATCTAATCACCACATCCTATCCAACCATCTGATCAACACGTCCTATCCAACCATCTAATCACCAAGTCCTATCCAACCATCTAATCACCAAGTCCTATCCAACCATCTAATCACCAAGTCCTATCCTACCATCTAATCACCACATCCTATCCAACCATCTAATCAACACGTCCTATCCAACCATCTAATCACCAAGTCCTATCCCACCATCTAATCACCAAGCCCAAGCCTACCATGTGAACACCAAGTCATGTCCAACCATCTGATCACCAAGTCCTATCCAACCATCTGATCACCAAGTCCTATCCAAACATCTGATAACCAAGACCTCTCCAACCATCTGAAGACCCACATCTTATGACACCCACTGACCAGTTTCCCGGGGTCTGAACATCCCCTGTAGCACCAGTTTGTCGGGGAACTGTACCCGGATGACAACCTTCTTGTACTTGCTGTATCTCTCCTCCAGTCTGGCCTGCCTCATGGACTGTGTCATCAGGGGGGCGTCGGCCACGTTTTCCCTGCAAAACAGGATGTACTGATGAATGTAGAAATTTAATGTCATTTACAAACCACATGAGTCATTTCTCTCATGCTTAACAAAACTTAACCAAACCCACAGGGGTTTTCAATTCTTTGAAGAGAATCTTCCTTGAGGTACATATACAGTACAACCAGAAATTATTGAGAATTTAAAGATTGAATTTTTTTAATTTTTTTTCACTCATTACTCACGTATTAAATGTGAATATTAGCAGAACATAACTCCAGATTCAAAGACAGGTGAACAGTTAGTATTTTGTCAAGTCACCATGGGCAGCAATACAGGCTTCAATGCGGCGGGGCATACTACTGATCAAAGAAGTTAGAAAGTCGTGGTCCATGCTGTCCCAATATCGGACCACCTCTTCTTTCATTTCAGCAATAATTTTCATTTTTCTTATTGACACTTTCCTTCATAAGTCCCCAAACATTTTCTATTGGATTTAGGTCAGGGCTATAGCTTGGCCAATCTAATAATGTCATATTTTGGGTCCGAAACCAGACCTGTGAATGCTTTGAACGATGTTTTGGGTCGTTGTCCTGCTGGAAAATCCAAAAATTTCCATAAAACACGTGAGCAGATGGAAGTAAATGTCCCTCGAGAATATCTGTGTACCGCTCACTGTTCATATTCCCTTCAAATACACAGAGGGGCGTTGCCCCTAACACAGATATGCCACCCCACACGTTAAATTTCGGACTGTACTTTGAGCGCTGAGACAAAGGTTTTTCAGTTTGTTTGGTCCAGAAATTCAGTGTATTAGGAAACAGCCACACAGAACTTTCATCTGAGAAAATCACATTGTCCCAGTTAAAATTTCTATGCTGTAAGCACCAGTTCAACCTCCACTCCTTTTGTTCAGGTTTCATGATCGGTGATGGAATTCCTCGACTTTTCTGCCAACCCATTGCATGCAGCTCAGTTCTAATTGTCTCCTTACAGACAGCCACAGTTCCTCTATCAATCATATCCAGCCTTAAGTTTTCAAAACTACTTCGTTCGTTTTTAGAAACAAGAATACCAAGCCGCCTCCTGTCACCGACAGTCAATTTTCTGGGCCTACCTGCGCCTCCCTGGTGCTCAATGCCATATCCATTTGCAATATCTTTCAAAACACGATAAACAGTGGACAAAGGGATGCCTGTTATACTTGAAATCACTTTAGCTGATCTGATGTCCTTGTTATAATACTCTAAAATCAACTTCCTCTTCTCTAAATCATCCATACTGAGGATCACTGAAAATGTCGTCTGCTAGCAAAGTAAACAAAGGGGGATAACTCTTCACTAACTAATGAAAAAGGATTAACGGAGTTGTCTCTCTTGAATAAAACCATGCACTTGATAGCTGGTCAAGGTTGTTTATACTAGAAATCCAATCAAACATATTCCTAAAATTCTCAATAATTTCTGGTCATACTATATGCATTTTCTGAAACTGAAAATGTCCTGTGACAGTTGTAACAATGTCAAAGAATTCAAAACCCCCTACAGGTTTAGCTCATTCTTTTTCAGAAGAGATCTTCATTGGGGTACATCTAGGCATTAACAACAACTCCCCAAAACCAAAGTCTCAGGAGGAGGGAAATTCTGTTAACGAATTTATTTATTTTTAAATCGCGAAAAAACATAGCCGAACTAGTGTTGGCTCACCATTACACTTTCACGGTCGTGTGACGTGCGGCTCGAAGTGAGGCATGCCAGGTTCGTACTCATTTCCGTTCTTAAATTGTGTTAATAATATGGAACGCTTTATAGTATTCACAAATCACACACCCTTCCACCCCTACCCCTCTTTTAGGTGAAGAGAACGTAAGGGCCGCACATGCAGTCAGATCCGACTAACCCCGATAGGGTGGTAAGGCTACACGATTGTAGTGCTGTGAGCCTTCAGTGGAATGTCAATAATACCCATCGACCACAGAAACAATACCAATGACGAGACACTGCCCACTGGAGAGAACTGAATGCCCGAACTGAACATGAATGTGTGTCGAATTGGTAGTGGCGAATGAAGGTGCTCGGCCGGCTCCAAATAGCCGCAGAACAAATCTCTTAAATGGGCAGTGTCGCTGCATATGCCTTCAAAATGGCAAGTGCCCTCACTGAATGAGCCTTCAACCCCTCAGGGAGAAGCTGACCCTTAGCATTGTCAGCCGAACAAATGATGGAAACAAGCCAACGCAATATAGCAGGAACCCCAGCCCTCCCGACACCGTAACAGCAGAACAACTGGGTACCTGAACGGATCCCTTTCGTTCATCTTGGGGACATCCAATGGGTGGATCAGTAACCGATGTGGAAGGCTGGGTAAGAGTAGGAAGTTCAATAGGAGCTGTCATGAGAAAAGCATGATTGATCTTAGGTCGGTAAATATCTGGGGGGAAATTATTGTATGAAAAGCTGTCAGTGCCCGGTTGGCTGACATCACATGAATATCCCCGACCCTTCTACCGGAGGTCACCACATCAACAACTGAAGGGAGAGAGCCGAAAGACATGAAAAGGCAGGGCCGGACAGCGAATCGAGAACAATTGACAAATCCCAAGGTGGGCTGGTTCGCCGAAGAGCAGGTCGAACCCTATCCAAGCCAGCTAGGAAGTGCTGTACGAGAGTGGGCTGCCCCAGAAGAGCACCATCGATAGGGGTGTGAAACATGGAAATAGCCTTGGAGTATCCACGAAAGGTAGAGGCCTCAAGACCCTCCAATCTACAATCTCCCCATCTGTATACCAGCGGGCCCACCTATCCTCATATTGAACATTTGTCGAATCCCGCCTTGAGCCAGAATTGTGTCTGCAACTGCTACAAGAATTCTGTGTGCCTGCAGGTTAGACCTGATAAGAGGTCAAGCCACCCATTTACTCTGACGATTCAGGTGCGGCGCCCCGTTCTGAGTGAAAATGTCCGTCCGTAAATGTAATAGAACAGGAGGCTGAGGCAGAAGACAAACCACATGGCCCCGTACATGATTCTTGCAGCTCTCGAATACCAACCTGACTGCTTTCAGTTCTAACACGTTGTGAAGGAGGGCAGTGTCCAGACACCAACAGACACCACCCCCCAACCAGTGAGGGATGCATCTGTCTGAGCTGGTGCCAGGAGTACCAAGGGATCCTGAGAGATTCCTGACATCGGGAGGGAGCCCACAGACTCGCCAATGGTTGCTGTAAGGGCTCATCCTCAACCGTGCCCGCCATACCACATTAACGCTCACCGCCATATGACCCAGCAAATGGAGTCATGTCCACCCTGGGGCCTGGGCGGTGCAAACATTCAACTCTTCCATCCACCATAGGAGATGGGGATGGAGCGCCGGAGGTAACGTGACCTGAGAGAGAGATTTGCCCACCCTGATGTGTGGAGCCAGGAACAACTGCAAAGGTCGAAGCTGCAATTGACCCCTGAGGGTCAACACCTGGGCCGACGTAAAAAAAAAACAGGAGCTCCTGCCATTGACGAAGAGTCCTGGGTTGAGACAACACAAGGGGAACTAACCGCTGGATCTTGCTGAAACGGTCCCACAGCACAAACAGTCTGTTGCGCTCGGTTTCAAACACCGCCCTGATGAACTGCAGGCGGAGTTTAGGGACTAGCTCTGACTTCTCCATGTTGATCCAGCCAGCCTAACTGGTGAAGTAGCTGCATCGTGAACCCCATGATGTAGGAGGAGTGCACGATCGATCCGAGCCTGGATACAGTCGTCGATGTAAGTTTCGAACAATATCCCCTTGCGATGTAGGAAGCTGGTGAACGAAGAAACTTGCGATGGTCCGGGAAGATCGGGATGTGGAGTTACGCATCCTGTAGGTCAAGGCTGACCATGTAATCCCCCAGTTTGATGATAGTCTTGAGCAAAGCCACCGACACCATACGGAAATGAGGCGGATGTTGTAGGAACATCTTGTTGAAGACCTTCATGTTGAAGATGAGTCTCAGTTTGTCGGAATCCTTGGGAACCAGAAAGATTGGATAATAAAACCCTGGGTCAACAGGATTCGGGCCCAGGGATTCGATCGCAAATTTCTGAAGAAGCGTGGCTATGGTGGATCGTAGCACAGTCGTTTGACGAGGAGGATACATCCTGTGCTCCGGAGATAGAGTGAGAGAGGAGAGTTGCCGAATGACTGGAAGTTGAAACCCCTTGGACAGAGTAGAGAGAACATAAGGGTCGTCCAAGATGGTCCAATTGCGGCATAAATCCCAAGTCTTCCGCCTACTGGGGAGGTTATGATGGGTACGATTGGAGGCGGAAGGACCCAATCTTGCTCTGATGTCTGCAAGTCACTGCTTCTGGGTCCTTGCGTGGAGGACTGCTTGGAACCAGAAGTTGGTCGAGAAGCAGTGAACAACTGGCGCTGACGGTTGGAACGCCCTCTGTTGGACCTTCTTCCTCTAAAGGAAGTAGAAGATCCTGAATGAAGATCTGGGTTGGACGGCACGTAGGTAGCTGGCCGCCGTTGACGCAACAAATCCTCTACTTGCAACCGCTGGAATTTCAACAACTCCACAGAGACCTGCAAATGAGCATCCTGCCCAACCTTTGCAGCTATGTCTCTTATAGCCCCGTTAAAGAGAGATCTGCCTGATCAAGGCTGACGGAAAAGATCTGTCCGTGAGGTAGGAGAAAAAGTGGGCCAGCTGATCCAAGATGGTCTGGAACTGTTCCTGTAACAACACCATTGAAGCTTGTTGAGGGGTAGCCGCATGCGAGACAGACATAGCCACAGCTTCAGTCGCCGTCAAAACCAAGTTGAGGGGCGCTAGGATCCTCCGAATGGCACCATCCAGGTGCGACAACTCACGGTCTTCAACCAGAAATGGAGAATAAGCTCTCTGTTAAGAACCTAAAGCACGATGTCATCATCCACAGGAGGCGAAGGAATCAACGTAGAAAACCCATGAACATGAGAAGAAGCCAAGTTAACTCTTTCAACACCAGTCAACCAGAGGCATTTACTGCCATGACACCGAGTTCCCAGAGACTCTGAGGTCATAGATGAAGCCTATGTTTATCAAGGAAATTATAAGCTTGTAAAACGTTATTGCTACTACATCCCATACACCATTTAAAAGATCTAATCCTACTGTTGATAAATATGAAGTTTATTTTTATAATATTATTCAAATAATACAACTACAACTTAAATAAAATTAATTTTTAATGAAAACTCAAGCTTACATTTATAACGTCCAGATAAACCACGAAAGAAGCAAAAACTATGGCGATTTTTTTCCATTTGTGACATGTCATAACATGCCCGTGCCTTTTTCTTTTCTATTTTCATTTTTACGTAATCAGAAAACTATTATAAAATATTTCTTAAATAATATGTATGGTCGCCTATTTCCGATATCTGTGGCTTTCCTCGCCGGTAACATGACATAACAACGAAAATACCTCCGCTTTCCGTCGTTATGAATAACATGGGAGGCTTAATGGTCTGATGTCGGTATCGCTCGAAAGCTCTGAACATCAACAATATCACTGAACCCTTGCCAAGAGTATTTTCACAGTTGTAAGAAGCGATTTTATTGGATAAAAATTGGTTTCTAATGACGCTTTTTCGCTACAGTCTGCTATAAGGGTCGTGATTGGTCAAAATCAGACACGTGACCTAAGGCAGCCAATCATATTACGGCAATGGATGACGTCCTCGTAAACGAAAACTTTTAGATTTAGACGAAAGTTTTGGGGAAAATAATGCTATTTTGAACATATTAAGCAAGAAATCGCTACCTATACGTAAATTATGGAACTTATTTGACGTATCGTGGTAGGTTATGACCTGTGACAAAAATGCTTCATGTATATATTTTCGCATTAAACATCGTGTCCGAGCATGAAGATTGAGGCGGCAAGAGCCGGGATGTCACTTGTCAGTGACTTGACTTACATTACATGATCGCACAAAAAGATGGACATAATAATTTTATATGTACGTTTGACAACTTTTATGAATGTTGTTGTTGATTTTATTCATTAGTTTATTCAATTTATTTAATGAATTCCTCGAAACATCGTTACTTTGCTCTTTGACAATGTTATTGTGGACCCGCTGCCAAAGCATGTGTCCGAGAATCGTTGTTTTCAAGAACATTGCGAAAAATAGTTTATAATTTTAATTCTGCTGATAATATATGATAAATTTAAATTTAATAAGTGTTTTCAGACATTGTGAAATGTGATAGATTTAATATATGAATCGTAAGTCAGGTAGGTTCCTAAAATTATGTCTGATTTTGACGTGACTACTGCCTGGCCGCTTTAGCGGCCTCCGGTGTCTGGGGACTCATAACGTTGTGGCCGCTTAAGCGCCCTGCGGTGTTGAAAGGGTTAAAGCGGTGTGCTGCGAACCCATCCTTAACCTTCCTTAAGTTGTCAAATACCTCATCAAGAGAAGCCGCAAGTTGAGTAATGCAGGGACGAGGTGGAAAAGTGATAGAACCGAAGTCACCCAGTTTCATATCAAAACTAGTTAACAAGTCTGAGGGTGAACTGCTACGATGTAGTCGAAGGCTATCAGCAATCCAAACTAATACCTGAGGTGTGTCGACTGCATCAACGCTGAAATCTGAAGCCGGAGTGCCTTCTGAAGTAGGAGAGGGCGTAGCTGATTGAGCAACTTCATCCACGGACTGCAGTGGAACGGTCGGAGGGGCGGTTGGCTGAACAGTTGAAGCTGGAGCTGGGACTTGCCGGCCTAAAGCCGAGGCCACAGCCTGAACGATGGCATCAAAGTCAAAAGGCCGAGACGCAGAACTCTCAGATGACGGATCTCAAGAAACCGGTAAAATAGGTCTGGCCGAGGTGATCAACGTAGTACTCGAAGTAGGAGGCAATGTAGACCCAGAGGCTGGCATGGGTGGATGACCTGGCAAAGGCGGCAAAGGTGGCGCATTGAAAGCAAGCAGCGCTTCGACAGTAAGCGCTGAATCAGGAGCAAGCGGCGCTCTGACAGTAAGCGCTGAATCGGGAGCAAGCGGCGCTCTGGTAGCAAGCACCGAACCAAGCTGGCGCTCTGGTAGCAAGCGCCGAACCAAGCGCCGATCTGACAGTTAGCGCTGAATCGGGAGCAAGCGGCGCTCTGGTAGCAAGCACTGAACCAAGGAGCGCTCTGACAGTTAGCGCTGAATCGGGAGCAAGCGGCGCTCTGGTAGCAAGCGCCGGACCAAGCAGCGCTCTGGTATCAAGCGCCGAACCAGGAGCAAAGGGCACATTGGTAGCATGTGTCGCTCTGACAGTAAGCGCCGAACCGGAAGCAAGCGGCGCATTGAACTATTCGTAGCTTCAGAGATAAGCGGTGTACTGGAAATCGGCAGTGAACCATAAACAGGTGGGACGGCATATGAAGCAGATGTAGAAAGCGCCACACTGGAACTCAACATCATACTTGTAGATATCACAGGAGGGTATGAAAGCGCCGAACCGGGACAAAGCACCGAATTGGAGACAAGCGGTGCAAGGTTAGAAAGCGTAGAACCAATCACCGAGCTGGAGAGCGCCGAACCGAACATATCCGCCCCCTGAGAGTGAAGGTTGGCCATCAAACCAAGCGCCGCACTGGAAACAGTCGGCGTAGGATCACCAGGATTCTGAGAAATTGTCACCAGAGTAGATGGAAAAGACTGGCAAGATGAAGTAGTTAAAACTACAACTCTAGTTGGCGAACGATCCTGAATCACAATAGCAACAATTCTGAGCAATCTGCACGCCTATAGAGATGATTGACAGGTGCTGCTATCAGAGTGGGGGCAGAGGTCAGGTGGTCAAAGGCCAGGTAACTTTTAATTCAACTTAGCCTACAGCACGTTTCCACACATGGTCGTAGAAGAAGAAGAGAGGTGCATACCGTGAGATAGGATAAGTTTACAAATTGCATATATATATATGTACCCCAAGGAAGGTCTCATCTGAAAAAGAATGTGAGTGAATGTATGTTGCCCCAGTCTGTTATGTTCGTGCAACATGTACATTACTGCATCCCCGATCTTGTGTAGAACACAAACTATTATCATAATAAGGAAGATAAGTTAGAGCTGCATAGACTTACATAATAAACTATGATTGAGAATATACTCTGCATGCCTAGCCACACAAAAGAAACTGACATCCATTATACCTGCCTAGCAATGAGTGAGGTAAATGTATTTTGGTAGTTTGTGTTGGTATTTTGCTAATTCTGTGATTTATGTGTATAAATCCGACACAAAAGATGTCAAATAGCACCTTCATTCTCTCATATTATTATAGTTTGACTGTTTTTAGTGGCATATACCCAGTAATATACAAAAGACGGACTGAGCAGATTAGCATCGTCTGTACCCACATATAATACCCGGTAATCCTTTTCATTCACTTCAGATAACAAAAGACAGTGACTTACGCATTTTTCTGGAGGTCAGTCATCATTTTCCGAATGTCCGCATCAGTCACTTCAAAGAAGTCATCAGGTAGATCATCTGTGAAAGGAGTCTAATTACTGTAACGTGTAACCATAGCAACAGCACCTACAGTCTGTGAAAGGAATCTAATTACTGTAACTTGTAACCATAGCAACAACATCTACAGTCTGTCAACTCTTCATTTATTAGTTTGTATTGCACAGGCCAATTAGCATTTGATAAGACTTAAAATGGACCCACAGACAAGTAGATTATCTTTTGGGGGCACCTTAATTTCGATTGTTTTGACAATAAATCTGTTAGATTATCTTGATTTGACGACACATGTCATATTGACACTTACATTCAGTACAAACATCTAGGACAACAAAGAACTCTCACATAACATCACACAAATCCCTTCTGCCAATGTAAACAGTGGTATCTAGCCACGGCCACTGTATTGTCTTCTAATACATCATATTGTTCAATCTAGGCCAAAAGTGTTGGCGTATACTGGTCTTTCAGAATAATCTGCGACAGTGTTAAGTCTAACAACGACCATTAATTGCAAGTTAACTAAGCTGGAAGAACCATGGAAAGAACATTCAGTACAGGTTTACGTAACAAGATAACAAACCCCCCTACCATCAGTCTGCCCAGGCTGAGAACTAGTAACTGGCTTGTCCAAATCGAACAATACAGTTTCTCTGTCACAAGGCTGAAACACAGGATAAAGTTGGCAATGGTTCACAATACTTCTGATTATTAATATCCTTACACATTTTCATGAATTAATACAAATCATATTGAAGTTCAGATGTATCACTGCATCATATCATCATTCTAGAGGGAGTAAAGGAGATTTATGAAAATAAGAAAGGCAAAAGTTCAAATTTCTACTTGTGGCATTTTGTCATTCCAACCTGACACAAGTCAAATTGATGTTGTAAAACTGTTCAGAGTATGACAATGAATACAGCTATATTTGTTGATAAATATATGTATATGTATATGCATGTATAGTTTTGATCTTTTAGACTGCTGCTTAATAACTACATCAAATTATTTAATTACAAATTATTAACTATAAAAATGAAAATACCACCAATATCATTATGCAAACAACATGAGCAACATACCTTGAACTCCTCTCGGTCCACGTCACTGAAAGAAGAGATTTGGTCAAAACAAATTGTTCTTTGATTTGCATCATTTTTAATTAGACTCGACTGATGTACAGAAATCTTAAATCTCCAACTTCAGTGAACATTATCATTCACAAGACACAGCATGGAAACTATAAACATAATTTGTTATGATATTTTAAACATGCTACACATGATCATACCTTAGTTCATTAGAGTAGACAGATTTCCCCTTGGAAGATTCTGGGAACTGTAATTAGACCATGTTGAAAAATGACGATAGTAGACAGACAGGCAGAACATTCAATTTTTAAGGCCTCAGGCCCATACAACATATATAGGAATTTTGGTATAGATTTAAGCATGCATAATACCGATTGCATTGAAAAATATTAATAATGCGGAATTAATTGTGTTGCTTTATAACTTTACTGAGATATTTTGCGACTTGTTTAATAGTCTTTATGTTTTCCGTAGACATCAGGTTTACGAACTTGTTGAGAGTTGGTGAATGGTGAGGGTCGGTGGAAGTAGTCAAATTATGATACCCTGAACATCAATTCAGAAATCACGGAACATATTAAGGTCACAAAGATGATCATATGAAATTGATTCGATGTTGATTGTGAAGTTAAAGAGGAACAGAAGTTATACTAGTTGTGTCACCTTGAAATCTGCAAATTGTGGTTGTGGCAGTGCTCGTGGCAGTGCTTGTGGCAGTGCTCGTCTGGGTCTAGCGGCTGCAACATTCTGACTTGATGGCATCTGTGCTGACTCCCCCATGATACGCTGCATCATTTTCTGTGCAAGGGCACGGGCCAACTAGAGGGAGACATGTGACCATGAGGTAACAATGAGTGAGAGAGCATGATTTTATGCTGCTTTTAGCAATATTCAAGCAATATCACAGCAGGGCACTCCAGAAATGAGCTTCACACATTGTATTCATGTGGGGAATTGAAACCGGGTCTTCAGTGTGACGAGTGGACACTTTAACCACTAGGCCAAATAAAAAATGTTGTGGTTCCGATTACACCTCTTTAAAATTTAGGGTAGGTAGGTAGCAATATTTGTTGACATTCGTTTTAGAAGTATGGTACAAACTAATAACAATTGTAATTGTTTATTCAATCAAGCTTGTGGCCATCATGTCAACTTTCTCTATCAGAATGACCAATGTCCGGCGGTGCCAGGAAAATAACAATGGTATCTGAAAGCTTATTTTATTCATACCGCTTAAAAATAATAGGGTCAGCACCAGAATTCAAGGGTCGGTCAGGTAATCGTAACCACATTTTCTTTAGGCCCTAGGCTACCTCACCAACCATCAGCAGGTAGAGTAGTAGATCAACATATTCACACACAATGCAGCATGTCACATACACCCAGAAATACAAGTTAACACACCACAAGAAAATACTAGATATCGTATGTCTTTGCTTGGACTATTTCCGATTAACGTCCAGTCCTTCTATAAACACATTAATGCTGAACGCAAGGCAAGGTAGCAACAAGCATAATCATTTAATGTCTTTTGGACAGAGATTGACCCTCCCAAGCTTCCACTCTCTGGGTAAAGGCTCTGTCAACATGACCATGAAGGAGATGACCTGACGAAGAGCATCTCTGCCAGTGACAGGCTCAAGGTAATAAGATCTTTAGAGTAAATCGTATCCAGGCACACTGTAGTCATATGTAACCAAGAAATTCAATTATGTATCATACTGGGGTTTTTTCAATTGGCATTAAAACAATGATTATGATGTATAAAAAAATGACATTTTACATAAAATATTCTGGTGTATTTAGGTATAAACTCAATCAATTGGGCTCATTTGTCTATTTCTTGAATTAATAAGCAGTTCTAAGAACAGCGACTAGAGGAGTCAGCATGATTTACCTGTTGCTGATCTGGCGGTAGATCATTGAAATCATCTGGTGTGAAAATCTCCACTCCTGGTATGTTCATACTCCGCAGCTGCTCTATGCTACTCTGTCCACTTGCACGATCTTGATTCTGGCTCCGTACACTGTTCTGTCCTCTGTCACATATTGTATTGGAATCACTAGTATCTCCAGTGGACACAGACATCACAGATGCAGCAGTGTCTACCTCCATTGCTTCCTGACCAGATAAACTTGCTTCACTCTTTGTCTCCTTATTATCACAAATGTCTGCATCCATATTGGTTTCCAGTCTCTCTGGGATGGATCTGACGTCACCTGATGGCACTAATGTCTGACTCTCTGATGATGAACTTTCCTGCATTTCAGCATGTTTCCTAGCTGCTATTTCTCTAAGACGAGCCTCCTTTACTTTCTCCTTGTCTGCTTTGGCTATTAACCCTGCTATAACAGAATCTTCAACTGGTCGATGGACAAGCCTAAAAAAGTAACATTCAAATGTCATGTGACTGCTTGCTGAAGGGGCTGGTGAGGGAGACAGTGGGACTGGTCTTAGGATTGCTGATCAGGTCATAAAACATTTTTCCTGCTCCACCAACCCCCATTCCCTGATATGCACATACAAGTCAACCAAGTCAGCGAGCCTGACCACCTGATCCCGTTAGTCGCCTCTTATGACAAGCATGGGATACTGAAGATCAATTTTAACCCGGATCTTCACGGGTAGAGTAACAAATGACCAATCTTTAAATAGTCGAGAGTTTTCTTTCATAAGTGTTGAATAAACTTTAAAGTTATACATCCACATCAATAAACACAATCCACACCAAATCTTTACCCTACCGTATTACAGCCCTGCCTGCTGTAAGTCCCAGTTTACGTAGCGTTGTGGACTGCAGAGCACACTCACCAACCACCTGGTAAAGAAAGCTAGTATTTGAATAAACCCCAAACAAATCAAAGCATGCACTGGTTCCATCTACTGAATAGAAAGACTAATTTGAAGTACTGTATATATACTACTTGTAACAATTATAGAACACAATCCATTGGTTTCACTAATGATTCTAACCATGAAATTAGTCATTATCATGACAACAGCTCAGGTTCTTTCATCAATCATCAATCCAACTTAGTTAGGATGGCCAGAGGTTCAGATACTTGAATGAGTTATAAGTCTGTCCAAATTGCATCCCTCCAGCTAACAAGAGCACACTTAATATAATGATTCTATGACAAACTGGTTCACTGACCTCTTCTGTCATGTAGATACACACTGGATGAGTAGGTGGCGTCCGACTATCGTCAACAACAGTCAGCTTGCCTGCATGCTCGCTGAAATGGGAAATAGTACCCAAATAGGTACAAAATAAGTACCCAGACACCAATATCCAAAATATTTTTACATTTTCATAGCAATGTACTTGTCATAATCGTAAATGTTCATAACATCAGAAAACAAATGTGGTATTATTTGAATATACTTACCCACACAAACAAAATAACCAAACCAACATTGTTAAAACAGACACCTGATATTATATTTAATTAGACTGATAGTACGGAGTTCTCACCATGACTGTATCAAGTCCTACGTACTCAAGGGTCCATCTCCCAAAATAACATTATGTCAATAACTATCACCAGTCTGTGTAAAAGTATGGGATTCATGACATTCGTAACTTCATAATCAGTTAGTGGAATGATGTTAGGTCAAGTTGGTGAAGCAAGCACAACATCACACCCAGTGTGTTCGAGTTATTTGTCCTTCAATTCATTATACTCACCAAGACTGTGTCTCCCAGTGTTGAAGAATGTCCCACAGACTTGTACCAGGAAGGAAAGAATTCTGCAGCCTCTGACCTGATTCCAGCTGCAGAGCAATTCCTACATTTTCCTCTGCCCTAGACTTTTCCAGTTTTTGAAGTTCCAATTTTGCATTGTTTGGTAGGTTTGCATATCGAAAAGAGAGGCTCAAATCAAGATCCTTCCTGCCATGCCTATCAAGGAAGTTAAATGATATGAAAATGTCACATTACATACAAAAAATGTAATTTTCTGAGTAAAATTGATATTTTATACTTATCCTGACTCATGCTCTTTTGCTTGTCCCCTTCCTCTTGCGAACATAGTGGAACACTTGTATCTCCTTAATTGAAGCTCCCTTCAATGTAAAATCACTAATTGGTACTCACCCACGAGTTACCTCCCCTGCCGTAAGCTCGGGAACAGGTGTCGCCACCCTCTGGCCTCATGCTTCACTCTCTCCTGATTTTGCGAGCCCAACACTTGAATTTACAGGGAAATCCAAAGTGTTATGTGGGGAGGATGGGAGGGCTAACCTCATGAGTCAGGATAAGTATAAAATATCAATTTTACTCAGAAAATTACATATTTTTCCTTATCCTGACTCATGCTCTTTTTTTGTAGAATCCACGGAGAGGTGGTGGGTAAACAGAATACTTTGGATTAATTAGTGATTTAAGTAAGTGATATTGTAATAACCCCTCTGAGGGAACTTCATAAGGCATTGAGACTTAGGATATTTCCTTATAATAAGCCATAGATATATACACTATAAGTGGGGTATTACCTTACTAATATACTGATATATCAATATATATATATAAACTGCTACTCTAACGTGGCTGTACACTGAATATAACTCAGTATGAGCTTAAGGTTGAATAACCTAAGCTAAATATGTACATAGCCCTAGAACTCCATGGAGTTATAAGCTAGTGAATATATGTATCATATATCTAATAATCTCGTAAGGGTGAATATTAACGCCCTCACGAGGGACTGTCAATTGCTGAGCGAGGACCAAAGGACCGAAATGATGAATGCCAGAGGCGTCCTCGGTGGTGATATCTCTGAGATAGTGATTAGCAAACACCATGTTAGATTTCCAAAAGCATCCTTCCATAATTGTATTCAATGAACAGTTACCATGAAGGGCGAGGTGGATGCCAATGCCCTGATTTCATGAGGATTTGATGCTGTTGGAGGGTCCAGTCCTGCTGCCTTATAGGCATTAAAATGACAGTTCTTATCCATATTGATATGGTGAGTGCGAGAGACTTCTGTCTGATTTGTAGGCTTATAACGGGATGAACAATCTTCTGGCGATCTTAAGCCTTGTTTTGGAAACGGCGTAAATAGATTATGAGAGCTCGTTACTGGGCATAGAGATAAGTCCAATGTATCTTGAGATCCAAGAATTGAGGATAAGCGAGGGATGTGAAATAACCTGTCTGGTTGACCTGGTAGTTGATTTTTTAGCGATGAAATCCCATCTTAATCCCAGGTGCGCTGTCTTTGATTTTCATCAAACTGTATCCTCTCATAATCTAGAGCATGAATTTCAGATATTCTGGCTGCCGTGGCTAGCGATAACAGGAAGACTGTTTTCTGTGAGAGAAATTCAAACGTTATGCGATTCCAATGGTTCGTAATCCTCACTTGTGAGGTGTCGTTAAAACTACATTCAGATCCCAAGCTGGGGCGTGGAATTTCCGCTTTTGGTCCTCCAATCGGAAAGCACGAGTAGTAAGGCCAGTAACTCTGGTGTTCTTGTTAATTTAACACCCGTTCTCATAGAAATCACCAGAACTAAGCTGCAAATATATGTTGACAATGTCGGAGCCTTTTAAATGTTTGTTTTGCGTGTAAGTAACACAAATAGTCTGCCACTTGAGGATCGTAGCATCTCTCAGCTAATAAAACCCTTGTTTGTTGCATAATTTTTGAAACTTTGCCACTTGTCATTACAAGTTCTGGCGTTGAGTATCGTAAGGCAAGCGTGACTGCTTTTGCCGCCCTGGTAGAATATCCTCTCTTGTTTAAACACATTTTAATACAGTCCATACGTGAAGTTTGAATACTTCTGGGTTTCTGTGCACCTGTTTGGTGTGAGGATGTATTAACAGGTTTTGCTGGCGCTTGGGTAGTTCTAGTGCCGGTTGACCGATATCTTGTATTAAAGGCGGAAACCACGTTCTGGCCGGACCAATAGAGCGACCAAAGTGAGTTGTAGGCTCTGCGCTTTGGTTGATTTTCTGTAATACTAGAGGTATTATTGCTGGGAGGCGAGCGGCGACGCATTGAGGCCTTCCCATGAAATGCTTAGAGCGTCTGTTGCCCATGCTTGTGGGTCTGGCACTGGTGACTTACGAATGTCGGTAGTTGATTGTTGAACCTTGTGGCGAATAGATCTACTAGCGGCTCCTATTTACTTGATTATCTGTGCAAATATCTCTGTATTGAGCATCCATTCTGTCGGCGACGGTAGATGTGGCTTCGAGAGAGTCGCCTGCTAGTATATTCCTGGCTCCGGGAATGTGGCATGCTTTGACATGTAGATTTAGATCTTGGATTAATTCGAACAGTTGAAAGGTTAAATTCAAAAGGTTCGGCGATCTCGTTGAGCCTTGTCTGTTCACATAAAACGCCACTGTCGAGTTGTCGGTATGTATCATCATCAGGTGCGCATTCTGTAGAATGTTGCTCCAATGTCTTATGGCGTTGATTACAGCTTTCATCTCTAATGCGTTTATGTGGAGTTTGCTTTCTAGCTGAGTCCATAACCCTGATGCCGTCCGGTTGGAGAGATGAGCTCCCAACCTTGGAGCGGCAGCGTCTACATATAGATGGGTCTTGAATTCCTGCTCTGCTAAACAAATCCCTTCGCAGACATTCGATTTCTTTGTCCACCATAATAGATGAGGTCTGAGATGTATCGGTAGACTGAATGGTTGTAGGTGGCCGAGATGTGTATTGGAGACTAAGACCTGTAGCGGACGTAACTGTAATCTGCCTATGACTGTCAAGTCTTGGGCTGATGTTAGAAGACCTAGTAAGCTCTGCCATTGTCGAGTGGTAGCGGTGACAGTAGAGCTGGTGGAATGATCTGTTGGATCTTGAGCCAACGGTCTTCTGGTAATGCGACTATCACGGTTGAGATTGGTGATAAATCAGTTCCTAGGAATTGCAGATCTTGCGATGGTACTAGGTCCGACTTGTGTAAGTTTACTAACCATCCCAGCTGTGTTGAGTAGCTTTATGATGTAGTTTAACTGTAGTTTGAGATGCTGTGGATCTTGATCTACTTGTATCCCGTCGTCGAGGAAGAACGCACTCGCGTAGCCCCTTGACGATGTAGATAGATAACAATCGGTTTCGTTATCCTCGCGTGAATAACCATGGGGCTGATGCTATTCGAATGGGGAGTACTTTCCACTGGTAATGTAACCCGTCCTAGCGTAAACCGAGGGTATTTCCTGGATTCGGGATGTATTGGGATGTGCAGATAAGCATCTTGTAGATCTATACTGCCCATGTAGTCCATGGGGCGAATCATCTGCGTAGCTGCGGTAGATGTAGCATAGTGAACCTGGGTGGTTTGTTTAAGTAAGTCTTGTTGAAGAAGCTCATGTTGTAAATGAGTCTGTATTTCTCCTTGGAGTTCTTCTTGGGTACTAGGAAAACTGGGGAGTAGAAACCTGGTTCGATGTTTCCTTGCTCTATTACTTCTATGGCCTGCTTGGTTAGGAGTAATGTAACCGCCTCTCTTAACTTTAGTAGTTGTTGTGCCTCTACCTCGAACTTGTGAGGGTTGACTGTTAGTGGAGGCTTGGCCTGTAGTGGGATACCCGGAATCCGGCGTTGAAGAATGTTGGAGACATAGGTGTCTTGAAGTATTCCCCAGTTTTCCCAGTGTAGTTGAAGACGCCCACCCACTTGTGACGGTTGTACTGGAACGGCTGGGGTGGAAGACTCCAGTCGTTCGAACCTGTCTTTCAGCGCTTATAGTTGGGAACCTCTGGGTGTCCTGCCTCGTCCTGACCCTCCTCTATAGTTGCCATAAGGGCGTGAAAAGAATCTCTTCCCCTGAACTGGCAATCTTCCTGTCTCTAGCTCTTTGTAGGCCCGTGAATTTAGATCTCCCTGAGTATCTTTGTGAAGTCTGTCGAATGACACTGGCTAGCGTGTCCATCGATTTAATCATCAGGACTTCTCTAGAATCCTTGGTGACTTCTTTGGAGACTGTGTCTATTTCACCGTCAAATATGGATGGGGAAGACCACGGGGCTGTATATAGTGGAGCTGTAAAGTTCTCACCCCAGTTGCAGGAAGCTAGGAGGCCTTGACGACGACGAGCTAAGGTCAGTGCTGCTGAGACAGACGTCAGATGATCTGTTAAAAACTGCTGGTCCTTCTTTTGCATCAGTAGGGCCGAGTAAATCATTCTGTCATCTTCAGAGGTCGTGTTCCGAAATCTGGAGATAAGTGTCTCATTTATTGTTCTAGATCTATTTAGACCGAAGAACATACGCCTCGTCATGGTTTCTATCTGAACCAATTTCCGATCATCAATCTTGTAGTACTTGTTCTTGGCATCGGAGATCAGCTTATAGTTCTCATCGATGTCTTGGCTTTGAAGAAGGGTTCCATATTATGCGTGGAGAACTTCTTGGCTGAAATTTGGCAGATGTGGCGTCTGAACCTTTGTGGCTTTGTTAAATGCTGTATCTAGGTTCTGAGGTACCGCCGCAATCGGGTCGATTGGGGTAGTGTAATAGCATCTGCGCCATCTTCTTTCATCAGATAAGTCTGCCTTTATTGCCACTTTGGAAGGTGATGAGATCTAGATTATTGACCATCCAATATCTTATCTCTGCATCTGAGAAAATAATTCCTCCATCATCTTCCATTCCATCATCATAGATAAGAGGTTGTTGCTCTTCTGATGTAGGGCTGTGTGGCTCTATCTCTATATCGCTTGGACGCTTGTGGAGATCTAGTTGTAGGCTTATGTGCAGACCTGTGAGGTGATCGACGTGGTGATCGGCGCAGGTGATCGCCTTGGTGATCTATATCGATAGGTTGATCCTTCTTGGCGATCTATGAGGGGACTGATAGCTTCGCTAAGCTCTTGTGTAGTCCCTTGCTGATCTTTTAGATGAAGACGATCTGGGTTCAGGTGTCCTTCAACGCG